TCAGTGTCCCCAGTGCCAGTGCCCCAGTCCCAGTGCCCCAGTCCCAGGGCCAGTGCCCCAGTCCCAGTGCCCCAGTCCCAGTGCCATGATGCCAGGCACCCACCCAGGACAACCCTCACCCCGGTGGCCGGTGTGTGCCAGGTGTGTGCCCAGTGAGTGCCACCAGGTGTGTGCCAGGAGTGTGCCAGCCCCATGCCAGGAGTGTGCCAGGAGCGTGCCCGGTGTGTGCCAGGGGTCCCCGCGCAGTGCAGGGCAGGCGGTGCCAGGGCCCCCCGAGCCCGCGCTGGCGCCGGAGGAAGCGGGAGGGGGTTTTATCAGCAGAGCTTTATCGTGGGATCAGCAGACGCAGCAGAGGGAAGGAAGTGGGGACGGGACGGGGGCAGTGACGGTGACAGAGACGGTGACAGTGACACGGCTCGGCCTGGGGCACGGGGCACGGCGTGAAGAGCGGCTCGGGGCTTGGCATGGGCTGCTGCAGGGTGTGGGGCACGGCACGGAGCGTGGCATGGAGAATGGAACAGGGTTTGGTGTAGGGCATGGCATGGGACATGGCACAGGGCTTAATGTGGGACATGGCACAGGGCATGGCACGGGACATGGCACAGGGTACGGCATGGGACATGGCACAGGGCATGGCAGGGGACATGGCACAGGGTATGGCACGGGACATGGCACAGGGTATGGCGTGGGACACAGCACAGGGCTTGGTGTGGAACATGGCACATGCCAACCCCCCCCCCCCCCCGTGGCATCGGCGTGTGCTCACCAGGGTCCCTCCTGCCCACGTTGGTGCCCTCAGAGTTGGAGCTCCCGGCGCGGTTCCTGCCCCGGTGGGAAGCCTGGGGGGGCACAGGGGGTGTGTGTGTGTGGGGGGGGGTCAGGCACCACCACCCCAGCACCCAGCTGGCCACCGTGTCACCCGTGGGTGCCCCCCCTGGCCTCACCTCCTCGTCCCTGCCCACCAGGACCAGGTGCCCGTCCACCAGGCAGAACTGGGACACGTCCCACACCGGGGCGTCGGGCACCGGCGCTAGCGGGACCGGGGGCGTCCTCTGAGTGCTCACTGTGGGGGGCACAGCAGGGTGTCAGGGGGGGCTCTGGGTGCCCACCGTGTCCCTGTCACCCACGGGCAGAGTGGCAGTGACGGTGGACACGTAACTGCGGCCATGCCACCGTGGGTGTGGTGGCACCAGGGGACACGCAGCCGTGGAGGTGCCACAATCGGGGTGCCAGTGCTGGGGGACACCTGGCTGTGCCACCCCTCAGCATGGCCGTGCCAGGCCACCCTTGGGGACAGCCCAGTGTGGCTGCCCTGCCCCCTCCGTGGGTGGCCCTGCCCCCTCCGTGGGTGGCCCTGCCCCCTCCGTGGGTGGCCGTGCCGGAGCGCAGCCGGTTTGGCCGGATCCCGGCACTGCCGGGGCTGGCACAGCTCCAGGAGTCACCCCTGAGCCCCATGCCCGGCACACACAGGGGGACCAGGGCCATGGGGAGCAGCACCTGGGGCCAGGTGGGACCCATCCTGCACCCAGGGGTGCTCCCCCAACCCCGCAGGGCACCCGCAGGCAGGAGCTCCCCAAAGGGACCAGCGAAGTTTGGACACGTCCTGTCACCCACCCATCACCCCTCACCCCTCACCCCCTCACCCATCACCCCTCACCCATCACTTCCCAGACCACAGTGGTCACCATCATCCCCCACCCATCACCATCACCCCCCACCCACTGCCCCCAACTCACACCATCATCACCCCTCAAGCCATCACCATCACCCACTGCCCCCCAAATCATCACCTTTTGC